GAAGCGCCTGCATGCCTTGAGTTTTCATATGCGAAGTTATTTCTGGCTTGACTTTCAACAATTAAATGACATATATCGCTATAAAACTGAAGAGTATTCTCACACTGCAGTAAATAAGTTTAATGTTATTCCTGATTCAATCCCGGAGTGGGTATTTGATTTTGTGCCTATGCGTGGTGGTTACTTTATTGGAAATGTTAGTCCTGCTAGGATGGACTTCAGGTGGTTTGCTTTGGGTAACTGTATCGCTATTTTGTCTTCCCTTGCCACTCCAGAGCAAGCTTCTGCTATTATGGATCTCATAGAAGAGCGCTGGGAGGAGCTAGTAGCGGATATGCCTTTGAAGATATGTTATCCAGCAATTGAAAATCATGAATGGCGGATAGTTACTGGTTGTGATCCTAAGAATATTAGATGGAGTTACCATAACGGAGGATCTTGGCCAGGTTCGACCATCATCCTTCAGCACTGTAATTGATTTGATACTTTTACTTTTTAACCCCCTGCAATTGAGTAGAGCATGACTTTGATTCTCATTGGAAGTAATGTTACATTGCTACTGAGGCACTGTCAGAAAGAAATGAAATGTATGGGCTAATTCTATTGATCTTACACTTGCTAATGCAACATATTATTCATCTCTTATATGCAGTGCTTTTGTGGTTGCTGACGGCTGCCTGCATTAAGACTGGACGGCCACAAATTGCAAGACGAGCAATTGACCTTGCTGAGAGCCGCTTGCTCAAGGACAGCTGGCCCGAATACTATGATGGAAAACTCGGAAGATACATTGGTAAACAAGCACGGAAGTATCAAACGTGGTCAATTGCCGGATATCTTGTAGCAAAGATGTTGTTGGAGGATCCTTCACACTTGGGAATGATCTCTTTGGAAGAGGACAAGCAAATGAAGCCTGTAATCAAGCGATCGTCTTCATGGACGTGTTGAAAATGTTGAGTTGAAGCAAGAGACAATGGTAGAAATGAATAGAGAGAAACACAGCAGGTGAGAGATCTTTTTGTTACATTACTAGAACAACAATTCTTTGGCTATTTCTATCCATCTAGGTTTGCTCAAGAGCTTCCTTTATGTAAATTAGCATCCAGCCAGATCAATGTCTTTGTTTCTCAAAATAAGAGACTTTTGTTTTGATAGCTTCCACTGTGTTGGACAAATTTTAGATACTGATGCTCTAATTGTTTGAACAAAGACACTGAATATGATGTTTAATTAATACGTTACAAACTTAGAGGTAGTTCACTAACTAAGCAAGCCTTACTTGTCGTAAGAGGAATAAATTTGCTAACACTTTTTATACTCTCCTGCTATGCTAGTATAATCTCAGTTATATATAGTTTATCAATTTGTTGCCCTATTGATAATTAACAACTGATGAAAAAAAATTCAGCAAAAAAAAGCTTCAATGATCAAAGGAAATAGTGAATAAAGGCTATAGTAGAGGCAGTCTTTATCAGGCTTCCAAATGGAACATGTTTGAGACAGATGGGAACCAAGAATAAGACCTCTAATAAGATAAAAGACCTACAATTGAATACTATAATACAACATTTTTTGTGTCAATCGTTAATTTGGATCCCACATAATCCCAACATGTCACGCAAGAAAATGAAAGTCGCCTAAACGACCTCACTTATCATCCAACAAATATTTCTGTGAAAAAAGTGTCATTATTAGATACTTACTAGGACCCTCAAACAAAGTGCGAACGTTTTAGAGTGTAACACCCCGGGTGAATCAAAATATGAGAAGAATTCATGGTATATAAGTAAACAAATCTTAGATTCTAATAACGTATTTTAAAATGAGATTTTTTCTTTCCTATACCATATATGAAACCTTATTACCAAAAATGTTCATAGTTTCTAATTTACCCGACCTGTCCACATTTTTTCTACAGTTATTATACCAATCATTAAATACTAATTAATAGTAGCTGAATCTTCCTAATTTGTCGAGCTAAAATTGAGGAACAGAATATTCTAAAAAGATTTGGCGTAAATCAGATCAAATCATATTCTTCCAGATATTCCTATTTAGGCGCGCTACAATTATGGAAGTAAATATTCTTCAAGATATTTTCCTCCATTGATAGTCATTAAAAAGCTTGAAAGCTTTGAATTCAAATTTGGGTTTTCGAAAATCAGTATTTGTTTGGATTGGGTGTTGTTGAAAATAATCGGGAATATGGTTTGGAGTTTATATCTCAATTTTGAGGGGTTTTGGTGAAGATTAGACTTGGTTTTGACTGAAATTCAGATTGAAACTCGAAGAAGAAGAAGAAGAAGACGTATTGCAGAAATTGTAGATAAATTGTAGATAAATTATAGATTATTTGTATTCTGATTGTAGATGCTTTATTTTCTGTTTTCACAAATAAAAAACGGCTAAAACTTCTACAAATTTTCTGAAAAAACAGAATTATGTCAAAAATCACAACTATGCTACAATTGGATGAGAATTGGGATATAAAAATTCAATGTACCAGTTTGTAGATATTTTGTAGATAACTTATAGATTATTTGTATTCTAATTGTAGGTGCTTTGTTTTCTGTTTTCACAAATAAAAAACGACTGAAACTTCTACAAATCTTCTGAAAAAATGCAATTATGTCGAAAATGCCAATTATGCTACAATTGAAATGGGAATTGGGATATTAAAATTCAATGTATCCAGTTTGTAGATATTTTGTAGATAAATTGTAGATTATTTGTATTCTGATTGTAGATGCATTGTTTTCTGTTTTCACAAATCCAAAACGACTAAAACTTCTACAAAATCTTCTGCAAAAAACAGTCTACAATTTATCTACAATTTCTGCAATATGTCTTCTTCAATTCTTCTTCTTCTTCTTCTTCGAGTTTCAATCTGAATTTCAGTCAAAACCAAGTCTAATCTTCACTAAAACCCCTCAAAATTGAGATATAAACTCCAAAACATATTCTCAATTATTTTTAACAACATCCAATCAAAACAAATAATGATTTTGAAAACCCAAATTTGAATTCAAAGCTTCAAAGCTTTTTAATGGCTGTCAATGGTGGAATTGCTGCTCTCTTGTCTCTTTGAAGGTTTGTTCTTCTTCATTGAGAAAATTTGAAGCTGAAGGTAAATGTGTGTATGAACTTTGAAGATTTGACTTCAATTTTGATGAACTTTGTTGTTCTTCATTGATGAACTTCAACTTGAGTACAATGGGGAATTTTCTTCAATTTTTTGTGAATTTTCTTTGAATTTAGAGGGAGAATTTGGTTTCAGAAGATGGAAAATGGTAAAAAGAACGTGGGTATGGATAAAACGTGGGTGGGACTGAGGGGTTAGGAGAGAGAAACGTGCAGATTCCTTTAATTAAGGAGTAAAAAATATACAATTAATTATACTCTTAATTAATTATGGTATAGAATTGGTAATTTGGTATACTAAGTGTAATTAAGTCAAACCTTAAACATTGAGGGTAATAAGGTTTCATATGTGGCATAGGAATGTAAAAATTCCTTTTAAAATTATATAAGCCTAAGTTTAAAGTGGACAATACCACTAGTGGATCGAGCTATTACATAAAGCAATTTCACAACTTTCAAATATAGCATTTTAACCTAATTTTACAACTTTCAAACATTCAATTTCTTTTTTTCTAATTTAAACTTTATTGTGATAGTTTTTTCTGTTGAACTTATTGATTATTAGTTTAACATTTTTTCACTACTAATCAATTAAGTTTTTAATTTTTGTATTCAGTCAACCAGTAGTCATTTAAATTAAAACAAAAATAGTACTAGTAATCCTTTCTTTTTTGTTTTTTCATTCGGGGTTGGATATCAATGTTTTAAAAGGCGGGGGCGTGAGGCGAGGCGTTTTACCTCTAACGAGGCGAAGTGTAAACCCTGAGACATGGGGCGTAAGTCCCACGGATCTTTAAATTTTACTGATTTCAAGAATTTTAAGATAGTATGAAATAAAAAATAATTATAAAAATTACATTAAAATCACAAAATTATAACAAATAATCTATTTAAAATATTTATAAATTATAATTCAACTATGAATAATACGAAAAGTATGACATATATCATAATATGCAAATTAGCTGCAACGTCATTACAACTCAAACATAAAAAGTAATGTATTCGATACAAAATCTTATATGTATCTCTTAAGGAGTAATGAATCTTGAAAGAATTTCGATATTATAATTTGATATTTTTCTTAAAATACTCCTTTTATTTAATATGCTTTCTATTTGAAAGAGAATATAAAAACATAATTCAAAATTTAAATATGATTCTCTAGCATCATTTATTTTTAAGTTCCAACAAGTAAATAAAGTGACACGTAATTTACCATACAATACCATGATAACTAATTATTTGTAAATAGTTACTAGCTAATACTGAGCTATTAAATTAATAAGTATTGTATCTTGTAAACGTGAAAAAAAATATTTAGAAAAATAATTATAAAAAATTATGGACTATTATATAGTAAAGACATAACAAAGTTAATAAATAAATACCTTTTAAATGAAAGATTTATTTAAAATTAACTGTCATAGCAGTCTTAGTGCATAACGTGCAATAATTTTTATTTTAATTATGACATAAAATACTCTCAACTTAATGATTTATGATTAAGAAAAAAGTAATTTTGAATAGTCAACGATTCATTAAGCAAAATTGAGAATTTACAAGGTTAGTTACATAGAATTGCATAATGTTCTATTAGGCGAGCCCAGGACGCTGGGCGTTGGGCATTTCCGGGGCGTAAGCCCCAGTGGCCGAGGCGTAAGTCTCACGGAACTAAGCCCCACACATAAGTCCAGGGACATTTTACGAGTGCTCCGCCCCGGGGCGAGTCCCGGGCGAGTCCCAATTCTGCCTTTTAAAACAGAGTTGGATATATAGGATAAGACTTATTAAAGGCAAAAGTCCTATAAAATTATTATATTTTCAGAAATTGAACCTTAATACCGCTTTGGGAATGAGAAGGGGGTAGAAACAAAAAGAAAAGAAAACTAAAGGCCTAAAATTGATCTCACATATTCTTTGCTTCAACAGTTGTCTAACTGTAACCCAAAAAAGCCAAACCAAACTTCTCTTCCCTCTTTGATTTTCCATTTCATGCCAGCAGCAACCACAAATTAGCAGTTTTCGTCTCTTTGAAATAGTAAAAAAAAGGTATAATCAGAATATATTTTTTCGAAGAAGAGTCAAGAAGAGTGGGTTGTTTAATGTCGCTGAGAATTAAAGCAGTGGTTGATAAATTCGTACAAGAATTGAAAGAAGCATTAGATGCAGATATACAAGATAGGATAATGAAAGAAAGGGAGATGCAGAGTTACATTGAGGAACGTGAACGTGAAGTTGCTGAGCGTGAAGCTGCTTGGAAAGCTGAGCTCTCTCGTCGTGAGGTAAACCCCCCAAAAAAATCCATTCTTTCTTTGAAAAGCTTAGTTTTTTGAACTTATTTTGCTGTTTCTTGAATTGGCTTTGAGTGAATTTCTCAAAATATACTGAAGATTGCAAGTGGGGTATTTAGTATTATTGTCTTTTAAAGATTCCATTTTGTTCAATTGACTGAATTACTCAAAGTTAGCTGCTGATTGCAAGTGCAGTAATTTGTGTGAATACATTTTTTTCCCCTGATAAATGGAATAGATTTGTTAGATGTAACAACATAGCCCATATTGTCCGCTCTGGGCCTAGGCCATCACGGGTTTAAAACGCGTCACTAGGGTCTAAGGATTGTTAACTTATATATCCAGTATCACTATTCTGTTTTGCCGATGTGGGACTCTGTCTAGAGTATGGTGTGCTACATACACCCCCTCTTATGGACTCAGCGTACTCGGGTCTAACGCTTGTTAACTTATATACCAAGTACCCTCTTGTGTTTTGCCGATGTGGGCTCTCACTGAGGTTTGCCCCACCGCATGAGATTCGCCTAGACTCAGCATTGAGGTTTGCCCCGCTTAACCGGGATTTGCCTAAACTCAGTTGAACTCTGACTCACCATCGACAAGGCTGACACAAGAGTGGCTCTGATACCATCTGTAACAACCCCGCTCGCTAGTGATATAGTCCACTTTGGGCCTAGGCTTTCACGGGTTTAAACGCGTTACTAGGATCTAAGGCTTGTTAACTTATATACCCAGCATCCCTCTTGTGTTTTGCCGATGTGGGACTCTGTCTAAAGTATGGGGTGCTACTTTAGATTATCTTAAACTTCAAAGTGTGCTTGGAGAAATGGAGAACATTTTTTCCTTTATCTTGATTACTAAAATAGAAGGAAATAGGATGAGTAGGTTTCGCCCTGTCCTAACTCCTATGAAGACCAATATGTGCTTAATGGGGATGAATTAGTTTTAAAATCACATGGAGAAAAGTTAATTTAAAAGACCTATAGTTTATACGAATTAATGCTGACTTATTATTAATAGAACATAATGGAACAAAGGACTCACATAGACTGTACCAACTAGTTGAGACTAATGCTTAGTTGTTGTTGTACTTATATCAGATCATATGTTTGTCAAATGTCTTTGTACTTTGTCCGGAGACGCGTACGTCAGTATTGTATAAGTACAAATAAGAGAACCTCTAGTTTTAGAGAAATTCCGATTTGCCTGAAAACACAGTACTTACTAGTATTGGAATGAAATAAGCCCGAATGGAGTAGAATGGACACATAACATTCATTTATCTAATCCTACTAGTTTAGGATTGAGGCATTGTTGATCTATTGATGATTGGTTGATTGAATGGAATATATTGATTAGTTCATAATTCCTTTCATATTATGCTTGAGAAAAATGGAAGAACCTTTTTTTATAACTAATGCTGGAGGGACATAGTACAGGACATGTAGCATTAATTGTTTTTCTTTAATTCATAAGTGAGATTTTCATTTATTTATAGGAGAGTGGTAGACCCTTCAATGGAATGAATGAAATGAAATGACAAATTTACTCCATCGTGTTAAAAGGATACTTGTCCACCTCTTAATGTGAATATGCAAAGCCAGTTTTCTTGGACTTTCATGTGGTTTAAAAGGTTAGCTAAGCAACCTACTACCCGGGCTAGCCAACCGGGTTTACACTCACCTAATATGGTTAAAGCATCCTTGTTACAAACTTACAAGCGTTGGATAAGCGTAACAGTATAGATTGGATTTGATGATGTACAAGCTAAATGGTGCTACTGGCATATCAAATATAAACATAAATGAGAGGATAGCCCTTGCTTAATTTAACCTCTGGTCATTTGGTATCATAGATTATCTATCTGACTGAGGGTTTATAACCTAATTTACTTACCAAGTTCTCAGCAATATGTTTTGTTTCTATAATGAATTAAGAAAATCTATGTAGTCTAAGGTTGATCTTAGGTTAAAGACCAGCCAGTAGGATTTTTGCAATAACTAGACCGTGTATACTGAGGTTGTAGAATTTGTGCTAGCGTTGTTGCAAATCTTTCTCTATAAAGTCCAGCTTAGTATCACGTCAAATATGGTAGCTAACAATTAATTCCTGGAGTTGAATCGGAAATTATTTCTCTGTGATTTTGTTTTGTGGAAATGCAAGTTGAATCCTTGGTTTAATCTGCTGTAAAAGAACAGGTGCTTCGCACATTCAGCAGTAATTCTGCAGAAGTTCTAGTTAAATTATTAGCATTAGGAACTCAAGAAGATAGAAATGATTCAGCTAGCCTCCCGTGGATGTATCCCCTCACAAGAAATACACATTCAGACTCTAGGACTTCCAGAGTGATGAGACTCTGGAAAAATGCCTTCTGTCACTTATATGTGTACGCAATGTATAGTGGCTCTGAGTCGATCTCATAATTTACAAGATTATCATACTGGAGCAATCAGATAGAAAATTTTACTAAGTTCTAGCTTGCCTAAGTGATTCCTGTATGTGCTATTATTCAAGAGATTAAATAGGGTTGGCAGATTTGTGGTATCTGTCGAGGCGATTAAGGGATCATATGTGCCCCTTCATATTGCATGTCATTATCTTATTTTTAACCAATATTAAAGGCCTTCCGAGTCTACATCTCATATGGAAACTTGATGTAATGCATGATACTGTAATATGTGACCACGGAGCCTCCTTTGGAGCCGCATGTATTAGAAGTCGAAATTGTCTTGTATGAAATGAATGTGTTTGTTGTTGTTGCTTTACTACTGTTGAGTGCAAAATTTAATGGGTGTTCAGGTTTCCCATTTCAAAGTCTACATACTTCCTCTTGAACACCACACAGCCCTACGTCTTTTTGACATGAAGACAGTTACAAAAATTCTAATTGCAACCTGCATAACTGTCTGCTAGCCATTCCACTATATTTTATTTCAAAATTAACCTGCCCAAAGTTGCCTTCGGTTCATCAAGTTTTATAGTGGATGGATCTTTATCAGTAGTGATTTTGTGTGGCATTTAGCAGTGACCATTTCTGGAGCTTAGAAAAATCCACATTCTGATTGGATGCAACAATTTGAATGTTGCCATGTAGATTTTGCCAACAATTGACTTCCAAATGTAGCAATAATATATATCATTTTCGGAATAATAAGAACTGAGAGATGTGTAAATGCTGAAATTTTCGCAATTAAGATAACTATTACATTTTGCTTACTACTTCTACAGGTAAGCTGTTCCGACAATAGTTATTTTTACTTGCTCTATGTCACCTATAGATCTCAAATATGGAATTAGAGGCTCCGAGTTCCTCTAGAAAGGTGATCTAATGAATGATAACATGCTCAACATTTGCAACAGAGTCTATTTATATGAGTTTAAAGTTCAGTGCGGAAACATACATTAGTTGAAGAAGGAAATATATGGTCGTCTTGTGTTGTTTTAGCTTTTGTAACAGTTGCAAATATGAGTTTTAGTATCTAAAGTTTCTACCTTTCTGATAAATGATGTTCCCTTGAGGATTTGTAACATGTCACAGTTTTGATCCCAGGCAGAAATTGCTCGGCAAGAAGCCCGGTTAAAGATGGAGAGGGAAAATCTTGAGAAAGAGAAAAGTGTGCTAATGGGGACTGCATCAAATCAAGATAACCAAGATGGAGCTCTTGAAATAACAGTTAGTGGGGAGAAGTACCGTTGTCTGAGATTTGCAAAAGCAAAGAAGTGAAGCACTAAAAGTAGGAAAAAGTTTCACTCCTATGTTTATTTATACAGCTAGTTTGCTGGATGCTCGTATAAAATTTTATTCAAGATTGAACTTTTGCAGCCTCTGTTACTCGCAAAAGAAAAGAAATTTAGATCTGCATCTCTTTTAAATTTCTCGGATAAGATAGCCTGAAATTTTTCTGTTGTTCCTCTTTGAGGCTTGAGTTTGGAGAATCAGTTCTGCCTAATTTGCGGTAAAATAGTACGGGTTAGCCAGTTTTCGGACTGGTCATTTAAAAATAGCCAGCATTTGCAAAGTCAATGAAAAATAGCAACTATTTTGCTGCAACAGAGACCGGTCCAGCATAATATACTGGAGATCGGTGCACCTGTGTATGAACTTCCATCATATTATGCTAGAACTCCAACACGCGGAAAGTTCCAGCATAATATACTGGAGATTGGAGCATCTGTGTATGAACTTCCAGCATATTCTACTGGACCGGTATATTATACTGGAACTCCAGTATATTATGCTGGAGTTCCAGTGTACTTATGCTGGAACTCCATTATAATATACTGGAGTTCTGTATACTTATGCTGGAACTCCAGTATATTATGCTGGAGTATTTCCGGATTTTGAACAGTGTTTTCGTTCAGATTTATCTTTACATGAAAAGTGGCTAAATTTCGATTACTTTTGAAACAGTGACTATTTCTGAATGATCACTTGTAAATTTGGCTATTTTTTAATTTCTCCCTAAATTTGCTCTTCCTTGGAACCCTGAAGCCCAAGTTTATCCAAGCTTTTTCTTCCTTCGGCTTCAGACAATTCACTGATCACGTTCAACTATACTCTATAAAGGATTAGCGGTCGCTGTAAACATAATTCAGTAGTCGATCCTACAGAGAGCAAGGATAGTGTTCCCCAACATAGTGTTGTGTAATTTGCGCAAAAAGGTAGTGTTTGGACCTTGAAATTTTTCTTACAAAAGGAACTTGTCCTTTTCCAACATATACTAGCAGCCTTTTATTCATCTTCATTGGATGAGGCAACATTGCAACAAATTCGAGGGACAGTAAGAAACTCGGAAAATACTTACTCACAATCGGTGTTTACTTTAAACCAAATGAATACTAGGCATATGTCTTTTAGATAAAATTATACTTACTTAACTATGGTTAATTAATATGTATTTTCACTTTAATTTACATCGATAAATTGATGTGCTATGGTAGCTATGATTTCACTTATTAAGATGGCTTGTGTGCATGCTGCAAGAAACTTTAGGAGTCTCTTAATTGGGAGACAAGTTAAAAGTCCTTTGCCTATAGGGTAAAACAAGAAAAGGATATTCATTTTTCTTCCCTTTTTAAAAACTGTTTTTGCTTGTAAAGAAAAGTTGCTGTAGCTAAGTTAATTTTGAAAATAGAAAGAGAACCCCATTAAGGAGACAACTCCATCATATGTGTTACACCACCTATGGTTTTGTCCGAATGGAAACTCTCTCTCTTTACATAAGGTGATTCTAGCCATTTGAAAAAAAATTCAATTTAGGTCTCTCACTCTCGAGAACGTTAGAGCAATGGTAAAGTTGTTTTTATGTGATCTATAGATCAACGGTTTGAGCTGTAAAATCAGCTATTAATGCTTGCATCACACCTCTTTGGGTACGACCTTTTCCCGAATCATACGGGAATGCAGAATCAGGGGCGGATCTACCTTAGCCCAAGCGGTGTCACGTGACACCGCTTGGTCGTAAATTTTTACTAAATAGGTATATATAATAAAAATCCAACATGAGAAACGAAGATAAATTTAATAAAAGTGACACCACTTCAATAAAGACTGTGGAGGTTTGAACCATTGACCTCTTAAGTCTTAAGCATTAACATTAAGCTAAACCAATAGGTGAAGAGTAACATTTGCTAATTTTATGCAACAATAGACTATTTGACTTGTATTATAAGTTGTTCGACTATATTTTTTCTGTTCTTCTTTATCAGCATTAAAATTGATTAAGAACAATTTGCATCATAATCGAATAAATGTTGAGCTTTTGTGTGATTACTTGGTGTTCTATATATAAAAAAGTATTTAGTATTATTTCTGATGCGGTTATATTGAATATATTTTTAAAAATGAAAATTCATATTTAGTAAGAACTTGAGTTGTGCTCTATAAAATAATTCGATTTTTTTGATGTGCTGTTATAGTTAATTATTATTTGTTTACTATTTAAAATCGTGACACCGCTTATGAAAATCATACGTACGCCACTGCGTGGAATACGTCGTGCACAACAGTGAGCTACCTTATTTTTCGCTCACTTGCTGCCTTTTTCCTTAGGAGGCTAACATTACCGTGTAAATGCGGTCTATGGCACCTACTATTACTTTGCGGTAGGGGTGGCAATATGGTTCAAAGAAAACAATTAATCACCCATATTATTCATTAAAAAATGAGGTTGGATAATGAACTTTCTCAAAATGGGTCAAATATGGATAAAAACCATATCATCCATTTATAAAATGGATAACCAATGAGTAACCTGGATAACCAATTGGTCTAATTTTTACTTTTGTAAAGCCTCAAATTGGGGATTCCTCAAGTTAGGGAGACTAAGAATTCTCCCACAAGTGATCATATACAAGAAGTCATGGATAATATGGGTAACCTATATTATCCCTGGTTAACCCGTTTTTTATCCCTATTAAATATGGGTCGGGTCGGATAATTGATCCTTTTTTCATTACCCGTTTTCGACCCGAACCATATCCGACCCGACCTGCCCGTTTGCTACTCCTACTTTGTGGCAATAGATACAAATTTAATATAAGTTAATAAAATTATATAGTTCAAGTAGTGAGAAATACTCTTTACTCACTCACCCACTGCTCTTAACGTTCACTTCATCTTTGACTAATTAGGCTGCAAAAGAAAGTGACTTACCATGAGAAAGATAGGATGTGTACATGGTTGCTTATCTTAAATTCCATCTAAGAAAATGATTCTATGGGGGGTGAATTCTTGTGTGGAAAAACTAATTAATTCTTGATGATTTCTTCTTTCTTTTGAAATGTCACGCCCACACTTTACTATTGACTAGCATTAGCACTTGAAAATTTTATAAAAATAGTGGTCTCGCGTTGAAAAATTAATTACATGTTAATTTAAAATGTTGCGTGAAATAAAAATAAATAAATAAATAAATAAATAAGTTGGGGTCCTGAACTAGCGACTTGTGTTTCATTCATAATTCAGAAGTTAGCAGGAAATTGAAAGTAAATACAAGCTATTAATTACATAAATATCAGATAATCACATCTAGAAGTGGGATGAGTTGGAGTGAGTGGCTAGCTGCTGTATTAATTAGTGATTTTAAATTCTGAAACAAGTAAGGAAAAAGAAAAATGAAAGGGGCCTTGGAGCACCGGTAAAATTATCTCCTTGTGATTAATAGGTCAGAGGTTTGAGCTGTGGAAACAACTACTAATATTTGCATAGCGTAGACTGTCTTCGTCACATCCCATGGAATATTGTCTTTCCACAAACTCTGCATTCATTCTTTCCACAAACTCTACGTGAATGCAGAATACTTTATGTATCGGACTGTTTTTTTAAAAAGACAAAAGGAAAAATGATAAAATTAGTTTTTAAGATATATACTGTAATAAAGTTAGGTAGGGAAAGTGGGGTTGAGTTGGGATGAGCTGTGTTTCCTTGTTGGCATTAGATGCTCTTATTTGAGCTGTCTATCTCTTTCAAACCTTTATAATCAACCCTTTTTCAATGAATCCAATCCTTATTTGCGAGTTTAAGTCGGCGCTATTTGTACATCAAACCCCTTTACAATTTTAAATTTAAAAAAATAACATTTTTAGATTTCTTGTGTATAAAAGACAGATCTTTTACGTGTAAAAATAAATCTATCATGTGTAAAAAAAAGGTAGGGTCATAAAACTAAAAACTAGTTTGTAAAGAGCCAAAAAACCGATTGACCCGTTTAAATTGTGTGCAGTAATGTTTTTAGTTTTTTTTTTACATTATTACTTATACTTATACATATAACTTCTATCAAATTTCATATGGTAATGTAGAAAATATATCAGTAAGCACTTGATAATAATAAGTTAAATTACATTAATAATGTACAAATTACTTATAAGGTCATTGAATATATCTTAAATTTGTTCATCATTTGTTTGTACACATCCATCCGCCCCCTAATCCTCACACCCCAAAAAGCTTCATATTTCTCTTTTTCACTTTCTGCCTTCCTTTATTTTACCTATTCAGAACAGGAGTCCGAAACCTAAATACCAATTTTTTGGACTCAAAACACGTTTTTACAGTGTAAAAAAAAAAGTTACTTTTCTATAAAATGCGGTATTATACCATATTTTACTTTAACGGAGTTTTAGCCGTTAAAGTAAAGCGCGGTATAATACAACGTTTTATATATAGCGCGGTATAATACCGCGTTTTACTTCTTTTTTGGGCCCACCAATAAGTGTCCTGCGGTTAACTGACATAACAATAATTCAAATATATAAAGCGCGGTACTATACCGCATTTTACATCAAAAAATTCTGCCCCCCGAGCTAGGACTTGCCTTATTTAAAGGCGTTAGGATTTTATGAAAATCCATTCAAAAAAAATTCTAACTTCCGTTCAAACTTTTCTTCTTGTTATCAAGCATTTTTTATAATGTCTGAAAAGCAGAAAATAAGGGTTTCATTACATATGGGGGTGAGGTTGTAGCGAAGAATAACTCTGTGAGGTATAGTTTATCTCCACAGTGTCATGTTAAATTTCCGCTTACAATGGAGTACGATAAATTGGTGTCGTTGATATTTAAAAGAATGAGTGTGAGAAAACGTTCGATGAGCCTTAAAGTAACCGGTAGATTTGCTTTTTATTCTGAGTTTAATATCAAAGATGATGAAACTCTTAGAGATTTTTTGCGGATTCCGAATGAATACAGACAATTTATTGTGATAAAATTGTTGGAAATGTACGTCAAGGTTGAAGACGTTCCCAATAATGAGGTTCTGCATAGTAGGGATAACCCCCGGTCATCGGGTGGCTATTCTGGAGCAGTTTTTGCTGGACAGATTCCTGATGCAAGAGTTTGCCTTGATTTAAACTTATCACCACCAGTGAATGAGCAGCGAGGAAATAATTTCTCGACTTTACATAATCCACA